CCACCACCACTGGCCGAGGAAGTGTCTGCTCCTCTGTCCTCATGCTGCGGGGCAGCACCGCTCTGCACCTCACGCTGCCCACCTGCAAGAGAAGTCGAGGAGAGAGGCTCTGTGATAGTGTCTCTTGCGCCCGTATCCCAGCTGTTGGGAGCTCATGCAGTTGGGCTCCCCTGCCAGCCCCACGGCAAGGCTCAGGCCCACAGGTGGCTGCTGCCTGCTCCCAGAGCTGGCTGGGGAAAGGGCTGGCCACCCGCCGGCCATGGCCCCAGCCCACAGCAGCCCCGGCATGCCCGTGGTTGGGAAGGTGTTTGGCCCTGTCTCCCTCAGGGTCCCTACCTGTTCCTGCTGGGTCTCGATGGGCTGATACCTTCGTTGGTAGGGCAGCTGTGGTACCGTGATCCCACGCCGCCCTTCCTCAGGCTGTGGCCTGTGGCCCACCTGCGGGCAGGAGGAGGAGGAAGAGGTGTGTGATGGAGGCGGCTGCCTTGGCACAGCAGCCCCCGCAGTGCCGGCAAGCCCGGCCCCGGCCCCGAGGCAGCTCCATGTGGCCCCGTCCCACCACCGGCCTCTCACTCCTGCCCCAGCCCTCACCTGGCGCCTCCTTTGCACTCCTGGCCTGCCCTCGGCAGGCTGGGAGCGGGCGTTCGATCCCTTGTCCACTGGCATCTTCTGTGTCCTCGGATGCAGACTTGCTGTGGATTCACAGGGCAACTGCCACCTCTAGGGTGCGCCAGGGCCTTAAATACCCCACATAAGAGTCGTAACAATGCCCCCGTGGTTTCCACGGAGACGCCGATGCCCTCACCAGTTCCAAAGGGTCCCAGCTCCTCATGGGCAACTCCACAGCAACCACTGAAGCTTTGTGACAGCGGCAGCATCGTGCCCATGGCCACTGGGCAGTCAGGGATGCACTTTTCTCCTCCCTGTTTTTTTCCTTGACAAGAAGAAAAGGGAACGGAGAAAAGAAAGACCGGTAAAAGAAGGAAAAAAACAACAAAAATAATGAAATCATTCTTGTGAGACCTCACCTGGAGTACTGTGTGCAGTTCTGGTTTACTCAACATAAAAAGAACATGAAACCAACACCCCCAAGTCCTTCTCCGCAGGGCTGCTCTGAATCTCTTCTCTGCCCAACCTGTAGCTGTGCCTGGGATTGGTCTGACCCAGCTGTAGGACCTTGCACTTGGCATGCTTAAACTTCATGAGGTTGGCATCAGCCCACCTCACAAGCATGTCGAGGTCCCTCTGCATGGCATTCCTTCCCTCCAGCCTATCAACCGAACCACAGACCTTGGTGTCATCGGCAAACTTGAAGTTTCCTCAGCAGCTCCTGATCCATCCAAGGAGGTCTCCTGGCCCTCCTGCTGCACTTCCTTCTAGCTGGGACGCAACACTCCTGAGCTTGTAGGAGGTGATCCTTGAATATCAACCAAGAGTCTTGAGTCCCCCTGCCCTCTAGGGCTATGTCCCATGGAACCTTACTAAGCAGGCTCCTGAAGAGGGCAAAGTCTGCTCTCTTGAAGTCCAGGGCAGTGAGCTTGCTGCACGCTCTTCTCACTGGCCTGAGGATCTCGAACTCGACCATCTCATGATTGCTATGAGCAAGGCTGCCCTGGAGCGTCACATTTCCTACCAGCCCTTCCCTGTTGGTGAGCACGAGGTCAAGCACGGCACCTCTCCTTGTCAGCTCCTCTATTACTTGCAGAAGGAAGTTGTTTTCCACACAATCGAGGAAGCTCCTGGACTGCTTGTGCCGGGCCGTACCGTCCCTCCAACAGGTATCAGGGTGGTTGAAGTCCCCCGTGAGGACAAGGGCCTGAGAGCTTGAGGCTGTTCCTATCTGTCTACAGAGCACTTCATCTGCAGAGTCCTCTAGATCAGGCGCTCTGTGACAGATCCCCACACTAATGTCTCCCATAGCTATATTCCCTTTAAGCCTGACCCACAAAGTCTCTGTTGACTGCTCACCTTCCCCAGACAGAGTTCCATACTCTCCAGCCTATCCCTAACACAAATAGCAGCTCCTCATCCCCATCTGCCAGGCCTGTCTTTTCTGAAGAGTCTCTAACCTTCCATTCCAACACTCCAGGCATAGGAGCCATCCCACCAGGTTTCTGCGATGCCTATTACATCATATCCCCGTAGACGTGCACACATCCCTAATTCCTCGTTTGTTCCCCGTACTATGGGTGTTTGTACAGAGGCATCCGAGCAGAGCTCCAAATGAAGCCGGCTCCTCGGCTGGAGTGGCTGCATTATCCCTACATTGATCCGAGCATTTATTATCGGTGCTGGCAACTGACCGGGAATGCTGGGATGGAAAAATATGTCTGCCTTCACACACTGCATGTTCCCCTGGTCTTCCTATTTCATTCTGCTTTATCTACCAAAACTATATTAACCCCAAAGCCTATCTTCTTGCGTATCATCTTCTTGTCATTGCACCCATGTGGGTTAACCATTTCCACTGCAGCCCCATCAATACCCCTACTTTGCCATGCCTGCACAGGCCAGGAACCCACCCCTTCCTCCACCCAGCTTCAGGAGAGCAATGCCAAAGTTCCACTCGCTATAATCCCATCATTGCAACACAAAACCTTGTTGCTGGGACATGACTTCCCACTGGAAGGCACCAAATTCTCCTCCTATGCACCAAATATATCCCCAGCGAAGACAAAGAGAGGCAGCAGTATTTTGCCAAGAGAACCCTGGCATGCGTGGCTTTAATTGCAGAAGCACATAATAACAGCATATAAAAGCAGAGAGGAAAAATAGTATTTACGGTGGTTATCTGTAAAGCTTAAACACGTTTCCTCAAACATGCGTGAGGCTCAAAGAGAGCAGAAAATGGGGCAATCGCTTTGGGAGTCAAAGCCCATTGTAGCTTCTACTGAGCAGCTGAGGAGAGACACTCTCAGAATCCCGAAGGAGCCTTTGCTGCATCCAAGCCCCTAAACCAGGCACTTTCCTGAGATCTGACTTGTATTTCCATGAGTGATAACATGAACACAATAAACAGAAGTACAAATGCCTGGGAGAGATTGGGCTGGAATTCTGAAAACAGACAGAGGAAGTTATTCCTTCCTTCCTTTCCGAACTCACAAATCCTTTCTCCCTAGGGCACAACAGGAGGAAGGTTTTGGGGAAGGACCTAAAGTTATGAGCTACAGTATTGTTGGTGTTTTGGGCAGGTTTGCTGCTCTCTCTTTACAGATTTAGATCTGAAAGGAAACTGTCAGCCCAATGGCCACCTGTATGAAACTAAAACAAGTTCTGAACTTACCACATATTCATCATCATAGCCATCCCCAGGTCAAAGAATTCACACTAGTTCTAATCTTCCCTGGTATTAAAGGGATAACCAAGAGACCCCCTTGCTAATGAGCTGAGTCATCTTAAATCAACTGCAAATGGCCTGACAGGCTGAGAACATTGAGGCTCTTGAGCCTGGAGAAGAGAAGCTGGGTGGAGACCTGGGAGCAGCTTCCAGTGCCTAGAGGGGCTACAAGAAATGTGGAGAGGGGCTTTGAACAAGGGTTAGAAAAAGAGTGAAATTTTACGTTAAAATAATTATGTAGAGCAACAGAAATGACTATATTTAAAAGTTTTCGAATCAATAGTAGACTTCTGTATATTAAAAGAATGTTGTAACTTTGCTGTGGTAGCCTCAACAGTAGAAACTAACATAACAAGGAGAAGGACACAGGATATCTGGCCTAAGACCTTGTAGTTTAGAACAAGGAAGCTTTGTCTAACTGTGCGTCTTGATAATACAGACGTTCATAATTTTGTATTGCTTACAAGGAAGCTTTGTCTAGAAATAGAAACCATGTATCTTAAGCAGCAGAAAATTTAATCTCTGCAATACTGGTAGCTTTGTGAAATCATTGCAACATAAAAGGACAAGCCAAGCGAGGAAGTGAGAATGCTGACATCCACATAATGGTTGGGGCCTGTCCAACGAAGAGAGAGGTGAAAAGAATAAGGGGAGGAAGATTCCTTACTTCATCGGACGACCACCAGAGGGGGCTGCACAAGCGTAGAAGAGGCTGATGTCGTAATGGACTAATAAAGTAATCCTTGATGCATATGTATTAGTCAATGAAGTAATCTGTGCTGAATATGTATTAGTTACGAAATTTTTAGTGTATAAATTGCGAACGTGATGTGACGGGGTCGAAGCCAGATTTGGGCGCGTGCAATAAGGCACGTCATATAACCATTCCGGTGGTCATGTGTCAGTTCTTACGCTAACATAGGGACAGGCCAAAGGGAATGGCTTTAACCTGCCAGAGGGGAGACTGAGATGAGCTCTTAGGCAGAAGCTCTTCCCTGTGAGGGTGCTGAGGCGCTGGCACAGGGTGCCCAGAGAAGCTGTGGCTGCCCCAGCCCTGGCAGTGTTCAAGGCCAGGTTGGACACAGGGGCTTGGAGCAAGCTGCTCTAGTGGAAGGTGTTCCTGCCCGTGGCAGGGGTTGGAACTGCGGGAACTTTAAGGTCCCTTCCAACGCAAACCATTCCATAATTCTATGATCCCTGTGCCCGGCAGTGATGGTTTCCAGCACGGCCAGTGGCTGCTGAGCAGCTCAGTGGCACCCACAACCCAATAGACCCCTCTGGTGCCTCATGGGTCAGCCATCGCTGTGAGGAATGGTACCACAATGGGGGATCCATACCAGCTCTGGGGATTTTCAGGGATCCTATCCCAAGTTTTCTGCTCCATTTGTAAGAAAGACCTGACCGAGGTATTAATGTCAACTACCTTCCACCTTTATTATTTCCATAAAGGACAATTAGGAGGGAAGCTGTGACCACCTCAGGGCGCAGCAGGAAGGCGCTACCACCCCCCTACAAAATGGCAACGCGGCTCCTTTAAGGAACGCCCTCACCCCCGGACCTGCCTCAGCCCCCATGAGGTCTTCCCTCACCTCCGCAGCCTATGGGCGTTGAGCGTCAGCTCCGCAGGCCAATCAGAACGCAGAGCGTGCCCTGAGGCGGCGGGACTTCCGGCGGGTGTCCCCGTGGCGGTGCGGCTCGGAGGGAAGAGGGTGACGGGCGGCGCCATGATTAAGAAGTTTGACAAGAAGGACGAGGAGTCCGGTATGGGGCTGGCGGCGGCAGGGCCGAGCTGAGGGGAGGGGGCACGGCGGCACCGCCCTGTGCGGAGCGATCGGTAGGCGCTCAGAGCGTCCCGCGGCTTGTAGCGGCCGCTGAGGTGAGGGAGGAAGTAAGTAAGTAAGTCATGGCCGCTGAGGTGAGAGGGGGTAACTGCTGGGGAAGGAAGCACCGTTTGCTTTCTGTGCCCAGGCGTTTGAGCCTCCCCCGGCTCTTCGGGACGGTCTGCGGGGTGCAGGGCCCGCACCGGCCCCTGGGGTCACGCTTGGAGGGAAGCTGTTCCCCGCAAGCCTGCGGGCTGCGGCTGGGTCTGTTCCTCCTTCATAGCATGAGAAGGAGAGGGTTTGGTCGGGGTCTGCACCTCCGCCTGGTAAGCTGGGCAGCAGCTGGCTGCGTGCACTGGGGTTTAGGCTGCGTTAGCACCGGCTGTAGTAAAGTACCCTGTGGGCGGGATAAAACCATCCCGTCAGGCAGAGTTGTTGTGGATGAGGCCATCGCTTGCACTTTTTCCCTCCATGAAACCTCCTGGAAATTAAGTTTAGGTTCCTGTAGTAACTGATGCTGCAGGTTGTGTGGAGAGCTGACGCAGAGCATCCCTGCGGAGAAGGATTTGGGCGTATTGGTCCATGAGAAACTGAACATGACCCGGCTTCAGTGTGTGCTTGAGCCCAGACACACACACCCCACCCCCCCCCCCCCCGTGCTGGGCTGCACCCCAAGAGCATGTGCAGCTTAAGATGATCTTAAGGTCCTTTCCAACTCCAGCCATTCTGTGATTCTGTGCTGTCTTGAGTTATATGTTGCTGCTGCTGATAGGTCTTCTGAGCCCAGCTGGACTGAGAGACATTTCGTTCTCAATTTCCTTTTGCTTTGGATGTAAGAAGTGAAGAATAAATGAGCTGAAAAGGAAAAATCTCTGCTGAAGGAAAAGGGTTAGAAGCAGTAGTGAGGGTTTGGAGGGGGTTATGTATCTGCAACAGTGGCTGTTAGGGCTGGTTTCACTGGGAATGGATTAGAAGGCTGCTGTCTGCAGCTGACAATAGCAAGTGTCATCACCAATAAGTTATTACTCTCAAGGGCTGGTTCTGGCCTGTTGAAAGGCTGAGGTGTTACAGGATGATGATACTCTGCTGCTAATGATTTTGTGATGTGTGGAAGCCAGACTCTATTTAGAGCTTGCTGAGTAGCCCATTTTAGTGGATAATTGATTGATGCACTTCTGTTTGAGATCCAGATCATTAGCTCTGTCCTGATGCCTTCAGTGCTTTCTGTGCCTGAAGGAATAAAAATAGGGGTACTAGGGAAAAATAGAGTAAATGGCTTTATGTAAAGAGGGAGTATTACACTGTTCTTCCTTGCCTTCCAGCTACGTTGGTACTGCTTCCTCCACACCTTTTCCTCCTGTACCTGTGAATATACCGCTGAGGAAAGTGGATTCAAAGCTCTTGGTGGAGAACATCAGGGATTTCACTGTAGCATGGGGTGGTTTTTTAAAGTTTAGGGACTGTTCCTCCAGTTCATTTTTTTTGTTGTTTTTTTTTTTTTTTTTTTGTGAGGAATGCATTTCCTTAACTGAGAGGTCTCTTTTGTTCCTCAGGTAGTGGCTCTAATCCTTTCCAGCATTTGGAGAAGAGTGCTGTGCTGCAGGAGGTATGAATGGTCATCAGACTGTTGAACTCTTTTCCTTCAGAGTGTGTTAGCAGCTTGAGGAAGTTCTGCGCTGCAGCTCCCAAATTTGAATGGCTGTATTCAAACAGTTAATTTAAAAGCACGGGGTATGTAAATTAAATGCACATGGCTTGAGAGCAGCCCTGAGGGGAAGGATTTGGGTTGCTGGGTGACAAAGCTCTCCATGACCCGACTTCAGTGTGTGCTTGAGCCCAGAATCCCCTCTGAGTGCTGGGCTGCACCCGCACAGTGTGAGCAGCAGGTCAGGGAGGGTGCTGAGGTGCTGGCACAGGGTGCCCAGAGAAGCTGTGGCTGCCCCATCCCTGGCAGTGTTCAAGGCCAGGTTGGACACAGGGGCTTGGAGCAAGCCTCTCTAGTGGAAGATGTCCCTTCCTGTGGCAGGGGGTTGGAACTGGATGAGCTTTAAGGTTCCTTCCAACTCAAATCAGTCTGGGAGTCTATCAAGTTAGTCTCTGAGGGGTTTATCTGTAGTAACCCAGGCACAGCTACAGGTTGGGCAGGGAAGAGATTCAAAGCAGCCTTGCGGAGAAGGACTTGGGGGTGTTGGTTGATGAGAAAATGAACATGAGCTGGTAGTGTGCGCTTGCAGCCCCAAAAGCCAGCCGTATTCTGGGCTGCATCAAAAGGAGCATGATCAGCAGGAACTCTTGGAACAAGTCCAGAGAAGGGCCATGAGGATGATCAGGGGACTGGAGCACCTCCCATATGAAGACAGGCTGAGAAAGTTGGGGCTGTTCAGCCTGGAGAAGAGAAGGCTGCGTGGAGACCTCATAGCAGCCTTCCAGTATCTGTAGGGGGCCTATGGGGATGCTGGAGAGGGACTCTTCATTAGAGACTGTAGTGACAGGACAAGGGGTAACCGGTTAAAACTTAAACAGAGGAAGTTTAGGTTGGATATAAGAAGGAAATTCTTTCCTGTTAGGGTGGTGAGGCACTGGAATAGGTTGCCCAGGGAGGTTATGAATGCTCCATCCCTGGCAGTGTTCAGGGCCAGGTTGGACCGAGCCTTGGGTGATACGATTTAGCGTAAGGTGTCCCTGCCCATGGCAGGGGGGTTGGAACTAGATGATCTTAAGGTCCTTTCCAACCATAACTATTCTATGATTATCTGTGGCTTATGCCCTCCATGTGGACATGTGAGATCTCGGGGTGCTCTTACTGGTGTCTTCCATGTTTCCCTATGTTCATTCGACCTACTGTGTGTAGCAGGTTTTCCTGCTTCTCTTTGTGTTCTCCAGGAATAATTGCTAGTGATGAAGTGACTCTGTTGTGAAATAATGCTGAATTTTGTTGGTTGCAAGTAGCTAAAAGAAGTGTTCCTACTGTCAAGTAGTGTTTGGGCTACAGATGCTGTTGAAAGATGAAGTTGTTAGTTTGCTAGTTCCAGAGGGTACCAGTTGTCATTTGCTCAGGCTGCTGCCCATCCAGCAAACTAAATATGCCTGAGCTGGATGACAAGAATATGTTCTCTGGGACACATTTTTAGAATGAAAAGCTACTTGGTTGAAAACAAACGGCTTTACTTTTTATGATGAAAGAGAAATGATGATTGTTGAGTTACACTGTAATACTCTCTTTATGCTGTGTCTGTAGGCTCGTATCTTTAACGAGACCCCTATAAATCCACGAAGATGTCTGCACATCCTTACCAAAATCCTTTACTTGCTGAACCAGGTAAGTGTTATCATTTCTTCCCAGCCAGAATGAATATTCCCAAGGCTAATATAAGGAAGAAGTTCTTTACTGTGAGGGTGATGAGGCCAGAGAAGTGGTGAATGTTCCATCCTTGGCAGTGTTCAAGGCCAGGTTGCACAGAGCCTTGAGAGACATGTCTAGTGTGAGGTGTCCCTGCCTTTGGCAAGGGGTTGGAACTGGATGAGCTTAAGGTCCTTTCAAAGCCAAGCCATTCTGTGATGCTGTGATTCTAATTTCTGATAGCTTTCAGTGTGAAAGAAGTTTTGTACCTCTTCCTGACAGATTTGGGAGGTAGCTTTTTAAGGAGATCCAGAATGGGGTGTTTATGCTTTAGTATTATGTTCTTCCCTCTGACTTGCTGCTAACTGGAGTGAGATACATATCACTGAAGCATTTAATACTTTTTCCATGAGTGCCAAGTGAGAGCTGCTGCTTGATCTGTGGCCATCACAGCCCTGTGCAATGAAAGAGACACTTGTGTTTGCCCAGCTAAAGTGGGAATGGCTGAGACGAAGTGAAAACATAGGCCAAGAAGTGATGAGGTAGAAGGGTGTCTTTTTGTCTGGGGCTAAATTAGAAGCATGATAAGAAAGATTTTCTTCAGATGTTTATGTAGATCAGGTTTCGTGTGTGTCAGGTTGTATTTAACATCAAAGTAGGTTGGACCTCTGCTGTTCAGTCTTAATTCAGGCAGCAAGTAGATCCCTTTTAGGTAAGACAAAACCAAGGATGCCAGAAAAGGGAGCACAGGCTACTTAACAAACTGTTCCATTGCTGTACAGCTATGGATGGCATTTGTTGAAACCAAGTAGCTAGTAGTGGTAAATTTGACAGGTACTCCTCAGGAAACACGAGGTGAGGGAGGGATGGTTTCTAACATGAGAAAAAGCCTCAAAGCAAAGATCCTTGGTGTGTGGGTAGGTGTTAAAAATGGAGGCTGAAAGGTGGAGGCAGCTCAGTAACAATGGTGATTTTTCTCTTGCTTCTTATGTGCTGTTTTCAGGGTGAACACTTTGGAACCACTGAAGCCACAGAAGCTTTTTTTGCAATGACCAGATTATTTCAATCCAATGATGTAAGTACCTGGTTGTTTAGCACTTGCTGCCTCCCTGCTTTTGTCTGAATTTGTGGTAACTACAGATTACATCCAACTACAGTTGGATGTTGGGATGTGGGAGGTGAGCACTTCAAAGAACAAGCTGTGCACGCCAAGTACTAGCTGGAGGCAAGTCATGGTCTGGAAACAAGTGACTGAATAATAACACACAGTTACTTCTGCAGGTTGTATTTGGTGCTGGGTTTATTCTTTTCTGCATTGAATTACTGTTCTAAAGCATGTGAATCATGACAAAAGCCTTTAATATACAAATCAGTATCATTTTATGACTGTTTCTTACACTTACAAATAATCACCATCTGCTGAACTCAAAGTAGAATTTAAAAGTTGCCTGTAGACTAAATCCAGCTATTCCCTAGAACAGCTTGCTCTATTCAGGAATCACCATGGAGTCAAGGGGTGAGAACATCCTAAGAAAGCTAGATTAAACTTTGGATTTAGCCCAGTGTAAATTCCTTCTCTGATCTCTTTTGCAGAGTGTAAGAACTCAGAAGAGTTTTTATTCATTAATTTTTGTTCACTATAAACTGGCACCTCAGGTGTTTAGAGATTTGACTGAGGAATGTTGAACATGGAACTGTGTTGGAACTACAGAGTGCTTGGGACCTTTCTCATATCCATGTGTTGGAAGGGCGGGAGGGGTGGTTGATGTAAATGTTTTATTTGCTTTCCAAGAATTAAAGTGTCAGTGCTCTTTGGATATTTGCTTTACAATAGCAAATAGATCAGAGGAAGTTGGGTTTAAAGCTTTTAAGTGATAACTGTGAGGCTTCTGCATTCAGATGTTTCACTTCTATCATGATTAACGTGGATTTTTGGTTTTAGTCTTATCTTACAAGATAGAGATATGTTTATTCTCCTGATTTGTTTGATAACTGACAGTAAGGCTATTCCCCAGTTATCAAACACAATTTAACTTGTGTGCTTTGTACACCACTGCTTTATCTTTGTATAGAAGTGGGGAAGAGGGTGTTCTATTTAAAAGCTTGCTCAAAATTTAAAGTTGAATATTTGAACTTTTATTTAACTTCAAAACTTGTAGGAAGTGTTTATTTATGCTTGCCATTAATAGTTTTCTGCACTACATTTTCACAGCAAACCCTTAGAAGAATGTGTTACTTTACCATCAAAGAGATGGCCAATATTTCTGAGGACGTCATCATAGTCACAAGCAGGTAGTAGAACCACAGACAGCACAGTATCAGAGCTCCTAAACAAGTAGCTCTATCTCTGTGTTTCTTTTAGCTGCTGTAATTCTCCGTTATGAAGGATAATAAAGGAAAGGAAAACAAACTGTCCTATGATACAGAGTATGTTACCACATGAAATGTTGATTTCTTCTTCCTGTGGTGTTACTCTTTACTAAAAAGGGAAGAGGCTTGCCTGCAGTTTCTCAGTTGGATGAAACTTTGGTTTCTTGTGGGTTTCTTGATAGGGGGGGAGTTGGTTTTGATTCCTTTTAACTGTTGGTTCTTGATGTTTTTTTCACACCAAGGCTGTGATATTCTGTTTTGCTTTGCTGTCAGAGCAGTTAGGGACAAGCAGAGCAAAGCCCAGTTCAGTCCTCCAGCTGAACTGTCAGGTTTTTGGACTGCAGGATAGATGTTATAGTTGCTGGAGAGCAAAATGGGATCTCTGATGTGTCTGTTTTATTTTCTATATTTTTTAAAGCTGCTCAGCAGCTGAAACTTTGCTGTTACCTAACTCAAAATGTCACGTGGTAGAAAGCAAGCACTTAGGAGAAGAACAACTGAGCTGAATGAACCAGGCATGTGGCAAAGGTGTATTATGAAAACTTGAACAAATTATTTTAAACTTAAACAGGGGAAGTTCAGGTTGGATATAAGGAAGGAATTATTTACTATGAGGGTGCTGAGGCACTGGCACAGGGTGCCCAGAGAAGCTGTGGCTGCCCCATCCCTGGCAGTGTTCAAGGCCAGGTTGGACACAGAGGCTTGGAGCAAGCTGCTCTAGTGGAAGGTGTCCCTGCCCGTAGCAGGGGGCTGGAAATGGAGGAGCTTTAACATCCTTTCCTACACAAACCAGTCTCTGATTCTCTGATTCTATGAACTGCGCATTTTGTAATGTTCTCTGTTTCCACAGAATCCCATGCTGTTAATTCTTAAGTAGCTGATTATTAAGAGGTTGTTTCTAGCCAGTACTAGAGCTCAGCAGTTAGGTGGTAACAGCTTGACCAACAGCTATGTGAGATGAGGCAAATGTCACAAAAAGACCAGGCATTGGGATGTTAAAGTGGTGTTAACAGAGTGTCTATGATTATTTCAGTTTGACCAAAGACATGACAGGGAAGGAAGATGTGTACCGAGGCCCGGCCATCAGAGCACTCTGCAGGATCACTGATGTAAGTCCAAATCACATCTCTGTCATGGGAGAGATGAGTGTGTTTAAAATAGAATAAAATAGAAAAGTACTAAAATAGAAAATTAAAATAGAAAAGCCCTCTCTTGCAGGGTGTATTCTTGTAGTGGTAATGGAATTTCTGCTGTAGGGAGGACAGCTCTGGAGCCTGCTGCAGATGCGAGGAGCTCTGTGGAGCTGGAGCACTGTAAACATGGAGTGAGAAGGCAGGAGCTTTGGAGCTCTGGTTTCTGATCTAAGATTGCTTTGCTGTAGACTTTGTTTCTGTCACTAAACCTCCAGGACCAGGCAATTGATACTAATCTCTCCCTTGCAGAACAGTTCATGATGCATTTTGAATATGCTGTGTGTGTATTTTTGCCTCATACTGCTTTTATGGTCTGCTTCCTAAGTATCAACACTTCTCTTTTTCCCCCTCACAGGCTACAATGCTACAAGCCATTGAGAGATATATGAAACAAGCCATTGTGGACAAAGTCCCCAGTGTGTCTAGTTCTGCACTGGTGTCTTCCTTAGTAAGTAAAGCAGTAGATGATTGGGAATCTGTGTGTTGTGTTGTGGGTAGGAGGCTACTCTGCTGCATTTGTAGCTCTGCTTGGCCTTTGTTTTGTTCTTTCTTCTTTTCCTTTTGAGATGTTTCTTTTCTTTCTCGTCTTCATCTGCTCACTGGAAAACAAGAAGCAGTGGTAGTGGAGTTTTCCTGTGACTCAGGCAGACTCTGTCCTCTCAAACTCCTTCCTTAATGTTCTCTTACCTTAGAGTACATCAGTTATAATAGCTAAGTGCAAAGTGCTCAGTCATCTCTCTATGCAGCCAGTGTAGGACGAGTTTCTCTGGGAAAGAGCCTTTAGAGGCTTGAGTTTAGAGTACTCAAGCACAGTGAAGACCATGAAAGTGTCTCTTGGTTTGGTGAGAGTAACTAAGAAACAGCCTGTGCTGTGGAAGAACTAACACAAGTGACTGTGAAGAAGTGTATGAATTCTGTGACAGGCAGTAAAAGCAGTTGGCTTTGTGCTCTGCAAAAGAAAAGATCCATGAAATTGCTGCCCTGCTGCAATTCAAGATCATTTTCGCTAATAGATAGAAGGGCAAGATGAAGTTCAGTCTGAAGGTGTTCCTCCCTTATTTGGGAGAAAAGGCTGGAAAATACCTTGCTAGGTTAATTCTTTAATAAAGAGGAGAATACAAATGAGAGCATGGGTAGTCTAAGACTGAGATGTAAGAAAACCAGTGGTTTATAGCTATACAGACGCTGGCTGCCTTGGTAAATCAAGAAGGCAAGAGGTAAAAGGTCCAGCTGAGGTGGAGTGAAGCCTCTGTTAGGACCCTGAGGGTGCAAAGTTGCATTAATACTAACAACTGAATTAATACTGACCTACTGGGATAACTGTAAGCAGGTGCATTCTCCTCCTATTGTCTTCAGTCCTGTTTGAACATAACTCTCCAAGTTACTTTTCTCTTCATTGAAACAAGTGCATCCATATAAACTATGGATGTGAGTTACTCTTTGTTACCTGTAGTACACAGCAAAGCTCTCAGTTCTCTCAAAGCCGGTAAAACAAGGCTTGTGGTACCTCACTGCTTCTGATTTTAGTTTGTCACCAGTCTCCATTTGTGGTTTCTTCCAGCATATGATGAAAATCAGCTACGACATAGTCAAGCGGTGGATCAATGAAGCTCAAGAAGCAGCTTCTAGTGACAACATCATGGTGCAGGTATGTTAGAGGGTGGTTGCTTCAGGAAGCAGTTAACACACTGGAGGGTTTTCACAGCATTCTGTGAGTTCTTAAAGTAAATTAAGGAGTAACTGGTTTTCCTTTTTTCTTTATTCTTTCAAAAATAACAGTGTTCAAGGCCAGGTTGGATGGGGCTTGGAGCAGCCTGATCTAGTGGAAAGTGTCCCTGCCTGTGGCAGGGGGTTGGAACTGGATGGTCATAAGGTCCTTTCCAACCCAATTCTATGATTCTGTTAGAATCATTGTATGATTCTGACTGTAACTTGAAGGAAACAACTACTTCAGAAACTCACAAGTTTGGTGATCCCAGTGCAAGATTCTTTTGAGGAGCTGGCTTTTCAGTACAGTGCTCTTGCCCTTTCCCTGCCAACCTTTTGATGGCTGGGATGCCACTGACTGTTTCACAGTAGTTGTCACAGAAAGGCTTTGAATCTGAGTTTTCAAAGAGCTTAAGAAATTATCTCTCTGCCACCCACAACACCAGCATCTCTTGCCTTGGCCTTCAGAACATTTGCAGTTACTATAGGCCCATGGAGATTAGCCCAGATATCAGTAAGATATCCATGTTAGTGAAATTATAATTGGTACAAATACTCTAAAGAGCTGTGGAAATGAAGGTGTTCTGTGTGTTCAGTCAGTGTTACAGACTAACCATCAAAACCAAGTCTGTTCTTATCCAGTGAGCAGCTTCATTAGTCATAGAATCCCAGACTGGTTTGGGTTGGAAGGGACCTTAAAGCTCATCCAGTTCCAATCCCTGCTACAGGCAGGGACACCTTCCTTAAATATAGAGGTCCGTGAATTACACAAACATGCTCTAACCAACATACAGGCAGAGACGAGCAGTGGGGGGGGAAACGAGTTATTATTTATTGGCCCAAGAAAGCAGCCACAACAAGTGCAGGCTGCAGCATGACATCCTCAGCACAGCTCCCTTGGGCCTGGCGCTGGCAGCAGGGCGCTACTCCTCCACACGTGGGGTGAGGCATGAGCAAGTGAAAGCCTTGCGCAGAGCCCTCAGCACTCTCCTGAAGCGGGAGAGTCGTCGCCGTGGGGCCGCTCCTTGGTCTGGAAGAGTGGCAATGCCTGTGGAGGAAGAAGAGCTGTAGGCAAGGGACTTCCTTTGGCAACCCGTTCCAGTGCCTCACCACCCTTACAGTAAAGAACTTCTCCTTAACAGCATCCTCATTGGCCTCCTTCAGATACTGGAAGGTCTGCTAGGAGGTCTCCACGCAGCCTTCGGCCCATGGAGGGGAGGCTGGGACACACCCGAACTCACGCAAACACTGCTGCCGGTCTGGCCTGGGTGCCACCCAACTCGGGCAAGTACCTGGCTGGTTCTCGCTGTCCTGAACTACAGCAGGCGACGTTGACGGTGACTCCACATCCAAGCTTTGTGCCACGTCTGGCTCTTTCACCTGCTGCTGCCTTGTTCCCTGGATGACAGTCACAGCCTTGCCCAGGTGTTTCCTCACAAAGCGTCTGAGCCTACCCTGCAGGGTAGCAAGAGCACAGGCAGGGGATGGGGGCAATGTCAGTGGGATGACACAGGCAGCACCAGAAATAGCCCTGTCACAAAACCTGGGAGCTGCCGTCCAAGGCCTTGGGATCCCCGGTGCCAACCACACGCGCCTCACTCACCTGGCGCCGAGAGTCCCGACACAAGGGAGAAGCTGCTGCATCTCCACTATCATCTGCTCCTGGAGGAATGTGGGATGTTCCAGGCTCTGTTGCAGGGATCTCAGTCAAGAAAGCAGCCACTTCATCCTCAGGCACTGTTGGGGAGGCAGCGGCTGCACTGGCCTCTCCCTGAGGCTCCGAAGCCACAGCAGACTCAACGTGCTCAGGTGCTGCAGGCGTCAGTGCTGCCATTGACACACCCAGGATTTGGGTCATGTCCTGATACTCCACCAGCTGCTGGCTGGCTCCCTGGACAACGGCCAGGCTCATGATCAGGACCTCTTCAGTGACGGTCCTTGCCATTTCTTCTACAACCACCTCACAGGCATCAGGGCTGAGCAGGGCAGGTACCTGCCTCTGTGCCTGTGGTGCTGCCTCCTGCTCGACGCAGGCAGGAGAAACTGGTGCCGGTTCCACCTCCTCCTGTGCCACTGGAGTGAGACGTGCGCGGTGCTCCTCTTCCTCCGCAGATGCAGCTAATGTAGAAGCTGTCGACTCAGTGGCTGTGGGTCCGGCTGGGATAGGAGACGTGTTCTGCAGGTCTCCACCTGCCTCCCCTGTCACTTCAATGTCCATGCTGCTGGGGAAGTCAGACCCCTCCTGGATATCGGCCTGGGGGTCCTGGAAGAGCTCTGGGACCGAGGGGTTGACCCAGAGGTTGCGTATGATGATCTCTTCCACTTGGGACAGCACTTTATCAATGTCCTCTACCCACTCTTTCTCCTCTTTGTCCACTGCCGCATCCAGCATTTGGGTCATGCCCTGAGGTTCCAGCAGCTGCTGGCTGGTTTCCTGATCCACTGCCACAGCCTGGACCAGAGGCTCCCTTGTGCTGAGCAGGGCTGCTCCCTGTGGAACCAACTCACAGGCATCTGGGCTGAGCAGGACAGATGCCTGACTCTCTGCCTCTGGTGCTGCCTCCGGTGCTGCCTCCTCATCACCATTGTGAGAAGAATCTGTTTCCTCTGCCTCCTCCTCGATCATATTCCAGAACTGGGAGCTTGCACCGACACTGGGTGTGACACGCACTTTTGCATCTCTTACTATGATGCTGTCGGAGGCAGGTGCATTGCACTGTGCTTCTGCTGCCAGAGCTTGACTGTCAAAGCCACAAGAGGCTGCGGTCTCTGCCTCCTCCTCAACAGCATCTCTGAAATGGACCTTCCTGAGGATGCTCTTGGGTGTGACCTTCATATCCATGTTGCTTTCTTTGTGGCTGTGCGGGGCAGGTGCCCGGCCCTGTGCTCGTCCTGCTGCAGCCTGCCTGCCGATGGCGGGAGAGGCTGGTGCCTCTATCACCTCGACACCAGCTCTGAAAGGAAGCTTCTTGACGCACCTGGATGGGAAATTCAGATCTGCGTCATTTTCTGCTGAGCTGTTCATGGCAGGTGCCTGGCGCTGGGCTTGTGCTGCAGCAGCCTGCCTGCTAAAGCCACGAGATGCTGGTGCTGGTGCCATGGGAACGAGAGGTGCCTGGTACTCCTCTTCCTCAGGAGCTCTGGCCAAGCGGCTCCTCCTGGCGTGTTGCAAAGCCTCGATGTTGCTGCGCAGGGCGGGCAGAGGCTTTGCAAGAACCTTCTTGTGCAGCCCCAGCAACTTGTCATTGAGGCTGCCCTCTCGCCCCGTCTTCCTGCTCTGGGAAGCAGCAGTGCTCGCACGGGTGTTAGGATGAGGAGCAGGCTGAGTGGCGGTGGCTTTGCTGCCGTTAGGTGCCCTGACAGTGTATCTTCTTGTCATTGCAGCCCTGCTGTATGCTGGGTCCTGGCATGCCACTGCCTGCTGGTAGGGTCCCCGGCTCTCAGCGCTGTTGTTGCGCAGGACCGCGCTCACATTTCTTGTGCCCTGCGCTGTGGCACAGGCTGTGGGCCTGTGTGGGGCAGGCTGCCAGCTCCGTGGCCTCGCAACTGTGCTGCCATGTGCGGGGATGTGGTGCTGCTGGGCAGCGGTTGTGCAAAGCTGCTTTTGGCTGTTGCTTGTCCTGCCGATGGCCATGTCAGTGAATCTGGCTGCAGGGGCAGAGGGTGCCCATGTCGGGCGAGGCAGCCTGCTGGCTTCTCTCACTGGCCGAGGTGGCGGCCGAGGTGTCCTTTCCACCACCACTGGCCGAGGAAGTGTCTGCTCCTCTGTCCTCATGCTGCGGGGCAGCACCGCTCTGCACCTCACGCTGCCCACCTGCAAGAGAAGTCGAGGAGAGAGGCTCTGTGATAGTGTCTCTTGCGCCCGTATCCCAGCTGTTGGGAGCTCATGCAGTTGGGCTCCCCTGCCAGCCCCACGGCAAGGCTCAGGCCCACAGGTGGCTGCTGCCTGCTCCCAGAGCTGGCTGGGGAAAGGGCTGGCCACCCGCCGGCCATGGCCCCAGCCCACAGCAGCCCCGGCATGCCCGTGGTTGGGAAGGTGTTTGGCCCTGTCTCCCTCGGGGTCCCTACCTGTTCCTGCTGGGTCTCGATGGGCTGATACCTTCGTTGGTAGGGCAGCTGTGGTACCGTGATCCCACGCCGCCCTTCCTCAGGCTGTGGCCTGTGGCCCACCTGCGGGCAGGAGGAGGAGGAAGAGGTGTGTGATGGAGGCGGCTGCCTTGGCACAGCAGCCCCCGCAGTGCCGGCAAGCCCGGCCCCGGCCCCGAGGCAGCTCCATGTGGCCCCGTCCCACCACCGGCCTCTCACTCCTGCCCCAGCCCTCACCTGGCGCCTCCTTTGCACTCCTGGCCTGCCCTCGGCAGGCTGGGAGCGGGCGTTCGATCCCTTGTCCACTGGCATCTTCTGTGTCCTCGGATGCAGACTTGCTGTGGATTCACAGGGCAACTGCCACCTCTAGGGTGCGCCAGGGCCTTAAATACCCCACATAAGAGTCGTAACAATGCCCCCGTGGTTTCCACGGAGACGCCGATGCCCTCACCAGTTCCAAAGGGTCCCAGCTCCTCATGGGCAACTCCACAGCAACCACTGAAGCTTTGTGACAGCGGCAGCATCGTGCCCATGGCCACTGGGCAGTCAGGGATGCACTTTTCTCCTCCCTGTTTTTTTCCTTGACAAGAAGAAAAGGGAACGGAGAAAAGAAAGACCGGTAAAAGAAGGAAAAAAACAACAAAAATAATGAAATCATTCTTGTGAGACCTCACCTGGAGTACTGTGTGCAGTTCTGGTTTACTCAACATAAAAAGAACATGAAACCAACACCCCCAAGTCCTTCTCCGCAGGGCTGCTCTGAATCTCTTCTCTGCCCAACCTGTAGCTGTGCCTGGGATTGGTCTGACCCAGCTGTAGGACCTTGCACTTGGCATGCTTAAACTTCATGAGGTTGGCATCAGCCCACCTCACAAGCATGTCGAGGTCCCTCTGCATGGCATTCCTTCCCTCCAGCCTCCATTTTTAACACCTACCCACACACCAAGGATCTTTGCTTTGAGGCTTTTTCTCATGTTAGAAACCATCCCTCCCTCACCTCGTGTTTCCTGAGGAGTACCTGTCAAATTTACCACTACTAGCTACTTGGTTTCAACAAATGCCATCCATAGCTGTACAGCAATGGAACAGTTTGTTAAGTAGCCTGTGCTCCCTTTTCTGGCATCCTTGGTTTTGTCTTACCTAAAAGGGATCTACTTGCTGCCTGAATTAAGACTGAACAGCAGAGGTCCAACCTACTTTGATGTTAAATACAACCTGACACACACGAAACCTGATCTACATAAACATCTGAAGAAAATCTTTCTTATCATGCTTCTAATTTAGCCCCAGACAAAAAGACACCCTTCTACCTCATCACTTCTTGGCCTATGTTTTCACTTCGTCTCAGCCATTCCCACTTTAGCTGGGCAAACACAAGTGTCTCTTTCATTGCACAGGGCTGTGATGGCCACAGATCAAGCAGCAGCTCTCACTTGGCACTCATGGAAAAAGTATTAAAAGCTTCAGTGATATGTATCTCACTCCAGTTAGCAGCAAGTCAGAGGGAAGAACATAATACTAAAGCATAAACACCCCATTCTGGATCTCCTTAAAAAGCTACCTCCCAAATCTGTCAGGAAGAGGTACAAAACTTCTTTCACACTGAAAGCTATCAGAAATTAGAATCACAGCATCACAGAATGGCTTGGCTTTGAAAGGACCTTAAGCTCATCCAGTTCCAACCCCTTGCCAAAGGCAGGGACACCTCACACTAGACATGTCTCTCAAGGCTCTGTGCAACCTGGCCTTGAACACTGCCAAGGATGGAACATTCACCACTTCTCTGGCCTCATCACCCTCACAGTAAAGAACTTCTTCCTTATATTAGCCTTGGGAATATTCATTCTGGCTGGGAAGAAATGATAGCACTTACCTGGTTCAGCAAGTAAAGGATTTTGGTAAGGATGTGCAGACATCTTCGTGGATTTATAGGGGTCTCGTTAAAGATACGAGCCTACAGACACAGCATAAAGAGAGTATTACAGTGTAACTCAACAATCATCATTTCTCTTTCATCATAAAAAGTAAAGCCGTTTGTTTTCAACCAAGTAGCTTTTCATTCTAAAAATGTGTCCCAGAGAACATATTCTTGGTGAGAACATCCTAAGAAAGCTAGATTAAACTTTGGATTTAGCCCAGTGTAAATTCCTTCTCTGATCTCTTTTGCAGAGTGTAAGAACTCAGAAGAGTTTTTATTCATTAATTTTTGTTCACTATAAACTGGCACCTCAGGTGTTTAGAGATTTGACTGAGGAATGTTGAACATGGAACTGTGTTGGAACTACAGAGTGCTTGGGACCTTTCTCATATCCATGTGTTGGAAGGGCGGGAGGGGTGGTTGATGTAAATGTGTTATTTGCTTTCCAAGAGTTAAAGTGTCAGTGCTCTTTGGATATTTGCTTTACAATAGCAAATAGATCAGAGGAAGTTGGGTTTAAAGCTTTTAAGTGATAACTGTGAGGCTTCTGCATTCAGATGTTTCACTTCTATCATGATTAACGTGGATTTTTGGTTTTAGTCTTATCTTACAAGATAGAGATATGTTTATTCTCCTGATTTGTTTGATAACTGACAGTAAGGCTATTCCCCAGTTATCAAACACAATTTAACTTGTGTGCTTTGTACACCACTGCTTTATCTTTGTATAGAAGTGGGGAAGAGGGTGTTCTATTTAAAAGCTTGCTCAAAATTTAAAGTTGAATATTTGAACTTTTATTTAACTTCAAAACTTGTAGGAAGTGTTTATTTATGCTTGCCATTGGAACAGGCTGCCCAGGGAGGTTGTGGAGTCTCCATCTTTGGAGACATTCAAAACCCGCCTGGACACATTCCTGTGTAACATTATGTAGGTGTTCCCGCTCCGGAAGCGGGACTGGACGAGATGATCTTTTGAGGTCTCTTCCAATCTCTAGCATACTGTGTGTAAACTAGAACTAATTGCAACAGATAGGTAGCCGCTTAGATTGAAGTCAGTTGTTTTACGTTAATTAAATATAGAGGTCCGTGAATTACACAAACATGCTCTAACCAACATACAGGCAGAGACGAGCAGTGGGGGGGGAAACGAGTTATTATTTATTGGCCCAAGAAAGCAGCCACAACAAGTGCAGGCTGCAGCATGACATCCTCAGCACAGCTGCCTTGGGCCTGGCGCTGGCAGCAGGGCGCTACTCCTCCACACGTGGGGTGAGGCATGAGCAAGTGAAAGCCTTGCGCAGAGCCCTCAGCACTCTCCTGAAGCGGGAGAGTCGTCGCCGTGGGGCCGCTCCTTGGTCTGGAAGAGTGGCAATGCCTGTGGAGGAAGAAGAGCTGTAGGCAAGGGACTTCCTTTGGCAACCCGTTCCAGTGCCTCACCACCCTTACAGTAAAGAACTTCTCCTTAACAGCATCCTCATTGGCCTCCTTCAGATACTGGAAGGTCTGCTAGGAGGTCTCCACGCAGCCTTCGGCCCATGGAGGGGAGGCTGGGACACACCCGAACTCACGCAAACACTGCTGCCGGTCTGGCCTGGGTGCCACCCAACTCGGGCAAGTACCTGGCTGGTTCTCGCTGTCCTGAACTACAGCAGGCGACGTTGACGGTGACTCCACATCCAAGCTTTGTGCCACGTCTGGCTCTTTCACCTGCTGCTGCCTTGTTCCCTGGATGACAGTCACAGCCTTGCCCAGGTGTTTCCTCACAAAGCGTCTGAGCCTACCCTGCAGGGTAGCAAGAGCACAGGCAGGGGATGGGGGCAATGTCAGTGGGATGACACAGGCAGCACCAGAAATAGCCCTGTCACAAAACCTGGGAGCTGCCGTCCAAGGCCTTGGGATCCCCGGTGCCAACCACACGCGCCTCACTCACCTGGCGCCGAGAGTCCCGACACAAGGGAGAAGCTGCTGCATCTCCACTATCATCTGCTCCTGGAGGAATGTGGGATGTTCCAGGCTCTGTTGCAGGGATCTCAGTCAAGAAAGCAGCCACTTCATCCTCAGGCACTGTTGGGGAGGCAGCGGCTGCACTGGCCTCTCCCTGAGGCTCCGAAGCCACAGCAGACTCAACGTGCTCAGGTGCTGCAGGCGTCAGTGCTGCCATTGACACACTCAGGATTTGGGTCATGTCCTGATACTCCACCAGCTGTTGGCTGGTTCCCTCTCCTGTTGCGTCCATGCCCATGCTGGTGGGGCAGCTGGATCCCTCCTGGGGATCTGCATGGGTGTCCTGGAAGTGGTCTGGGACTGAGAGGTTGACCCAGAGGTTGCGTATGGTGATCTCTTCCACTTCAGAAAGCTCTTTGTCCATGGCCTCTTCCCATTCCTCTTCTTCCTTTCCGTCCAACTCCTCATCGTCAGCTTCCTCGCCCAAGGTCCCTGGCGCTTCCTGTAAACACACAACAGGGATGCAGAAAATGAGTTGAGGGAGCAGTGGCTGGCCACAGGCAGAGGAAGGCTCATCCCGCTGTCCTGTCCCATCCTGTCCTTGGCACTCACCTGCCTGTGACTGGGCATCCGTCCCCGCCGCAAGGCGAAACGAGGCCTCTGGCCCTCCTGCTGCTGGAGCTCCCTTTCCACAGAGCTGCCCAGCAGCCAAGGCAGGCTGGCTCTCCTTTGCATGTCGAGCCTGTGACTGGTGTGGGCCATGCTGCTCCTCTCCGGCTCCTCCAGAGGCTCTGGCATAGGGAGCAGCAGGAATCTCTCTGCCACAGGTAGCCCATGCGAGACTCCTGCTTGAATCTCCACAGTATCTCCGGTGCCAGCCATATGTGCCTCGCTCACCGGGTGCCCAGATTCACGATCAAAGGCAGAAGCTCCTGCTTCTCCTTCGTTGGCTGCTTCTGGGGCAGAGTGGCATGCTCCAGCCTCTGGCACAGGCATCTCAGGCCATGAAGCTGCCACTTCCTCTCTCTGTGTTTCTGGCAAGACAATGGCTGTTTCAGCCTCTCCTTGATGGTCTCCACACACAGGAGACTCAGTGTCCCCAGTCCACACAGATGCCATTAGTGCCATTGCCTCATCTGAGTTTTGGGACATGTCCCGATGTTCCGCCAGCTGCTGGCTGGCTCCCTGGACAACGGCCAGGCTCATGATCAGGACCTCTTCAGAGATGGTCCTGGCCGTTTCTTCTACAACCACCTCACAGGCATCAGGGCTGAGCAGGGCAGGTACCTGCCTCTGTGCCTGTGGTGCTGCCTCCTGCTCGACGCAGGCAGGAGAAACTGGTGCCGGTTCCACCTCCTCCTGTGCCACTGGAGTGAGACGTGCGCGGTGCTCCTCTTCCTCCGCAGATGCAGCTAATGTAGAAGCTGTCGACTCAGTGGCTGTGGGTCCGGCTGGGATAGGAGACGTGTTCTGCAGGTCTCCACCTGCCTCCCCTGTCACTTCAATGTCCATGCTGCTGGGGAAGTCAGACCCCTCCTGGATATCGGCCTGGGGGTCCTGGAAGAGCTCTGGGACCGAGGGGTTGACCCAGAGGTTGCGTATGATGATCTCTTCCACTTGGGACAGCACTTTATCAATGTCCTCTACCCACTCTTTCTCCTCTTTGTCCACTGCCGCATCCAGCATTTGGGTCATGCCCTGAGGTTCCAGCAGCTGCTGGCTGGTTTCCTGATCCACTGCCACAGCCTGGACCAGAGGCTCCCTTGTGCTGAGCAGGGCTGCTCCCTGTGGAACCAACTCACAGGCATCTGGGCTGAGCAGGACAGATGCCTGACTCTCTGCCTCTGGTGCTGCCTCCGGTGCTGCCTCCTCATCACCATTGTGAGAAGAATCTGTTTCCTCTGCCTCCTCCTCGATCATATTCCAGAACTGGGAGCTTGCACCGACACTGGGTGTGACACGCACTTTTGCATCTCTTACTATGATGCTGTCGGAGGCAGGTGCATTGCACTGTGCTTCTGCTGCCAGAGCTTGACTGTCAAAGCCACAAGAGGCTGCGGTCTCTGCCTCCTCCTCAACAGCATCTCTGAAATGGACCTTCCTGAGGATGCTCTTGGGTGTGACCTTCAGATCCATGTTGCTTTCTTTGTGGCTGTGCGGGGCAGGTGCCCGGCCCTGTGCTCGTCCTGCTGCAGCCTGCCTGCCGATGGCGGGAGAGGCTGGTGCCTCTATCACCTCGACACCAGCTCTGAAAGGAAGCTTCTTGACGCACCTGGATGGGAAATTCAGATCTGCGTCATTTTCTGCTGAGCTGTTCATGGCAGGTGCCTGGCGCTGGGCTTGTGCTGCAGCAGCCTGCCTGCTAAAGCCACGAGATGCTGGTGCTGGTGCCATGGGAACGAGAGGTGCCTGGTACTCCTCTTCCTCAGGAGCTCTGGCCAAGCGGCTCCTCCTGGCGTGTTGCAAAGCCTCGATGTTGCTGCGCAGGGCGGGCAGAGGCTTTGCAAGAACCTTCTTGTGCAGCCCCAGCAACTTGTCATTGAGGCTGCCCTCTCGCCCCGTCTTCCTGCTCTGGGAAGCAGCAGTGCTCGCACGGGTGTTAGGATCAGGAGCAGGCTGAGTGGCGGTGGCTTTGCTGCCGTTAGGTGCCCTGACAGTGTATCTTCTTGTCATTGCAGCCCTGCTGTATGCTGGGTCCTGGCATGCCACTGCCTGCTGGTAGGGTCCCCGGCTCTCAGCGCTGTTGTTGCGCAGGACCGCGCTCACATTTCTTGTGCCCTGCGCTGTGGCACAGGCTGTGGGCCTGTGTGGGGCAGGCTGCCAGCTCCGTGGCCTCGCAACTGTGCTGCCATGTGCGGGGATGTGGTGCTGCTGGGCAGCGGTTGTGCAAAGCTGCTTTTGGCTGTTGCTTGTCCTGCCGATGGCCATGTCAGTGAATCTGGCTGCAGGGGCAGAGGGTGCCCATGTCGGGCGAGGCAGCCTGCTGGCTTCTCTCACTGGCCGAGGTGGCGGCCGAGGTGTCCTTTCCACCACCACTGGCCGAGGAAGTGTCTGCTCCTCTGTCCTCATGCTGCGGGGCAGCACCGCTCTGCACCTCACGCTGCCCACCTGCAAGAGAAGTCGAGGAGAGAGGCTCTGTGATAGTGTCTCTTGCGCCCGTATCCCAGCTGTTGGGAGCTCATGCAGTTGGGCTCCCCTGCCAGCCCCACGGCAAGGCTCAGGCCCACAGGTGGCTGCTGCCTGCTCCCAGAGCTGGCTGGGGAAAGGGCTGGCCACCCGCCGGCCATGGCCCCAGCCCACAGCAGCCCCGGCATGCCCGTGGTTGGGAAGGTGTTTGGCCCTGTCTCCCTCGGGGTCCCTACCTGTTCCTGCTGGGTCTCGATGGGCTGATACCTTCGTTGGTAGGGCAGCTGTGGTACCGTGATCCCACGCCGCCCTTCCTCAGGCTGTGGCCTGTGGCCCACCTGCGGGCAGGAGGAGGAGGAAGAGGTGTGTGATGGAGGCGGCTGCCTTGGCACAGCAGCCCCCGCAGTGCCGGCAAGCCCGGCCCCGGCCCCGAGGCAGCTCCATGTGGCCCCGTCCCACCACCGGCCTCTCACTCCTGCCCCAGCCCTCACCTGGCGCCTCCTTTGCACTCCTGGCCTGCCCTCGGCAGGCTGGGAGCGGGCGTTCGATCCCTTGTCCACTGGCATCTTCTGTGTCCTCGGATGCAGACTTGCTGTGGATTCACAGGGCAACTGCCACCTCTAGGGTGCGCCAGGGCCTTAAATACCCCACATAAGAGTTGTAACAATGCCCCCGTGGTTTCCACGGAGACGCCGATGCCCTCACCAGTTCCAAAGGGTCCCAGCTCCTCATGGGCAACTCCACAGCAACCACTGAAGCTTTGTGACAGCGGCAGCATCGTGCCCATGGCCACTGGGCAGTCAGGGATGCACTTTTCTCCTCCCTGTTTTTTTCCTTGACAAGAAGAAAAGGGAACGGAGAAAAGAAAGACCGGTAAAAGAAGGAAAAAAACAACAAAAATAATGAAATCATTCTTGTGAGACCTCACCTGGAGTACTGTGTGCAGTTCTGGTTTACTCAACATAAAAAGAACATGAAACCAACACCCCCAAGTCCTTCTCCGCAGGGCTGCTCTGAATCTCTTCTCTGCCCAACCTGTAGCTGTGCCTGGGATTGGTCTGACCCAGCTGTAGGACCTTGCACTTGGCATGCTTAAACTTCATGAGGTTGGCATCAGCCCACCTCACAAGCATGTCGAGGTCCCTCTGCATGGCATTCCTTCCCTCCAGCCTCCATTTTTAACACCTACCCACACACCAAGGATCTTTGCTTTGAGGCTTTTTCTCATGTTAGAAACCATCCCTCCCTCACCTCGTGTTTCCTGAGGAGTACCTGTCAAATTTACCACTACTAGCTACTTGGTTTCAACAAATGCCATCCATAGCTGTACAGCAATGGAACAGTTTGTTAAGTAGCCTGTGCTCCCTTTTCTGGCATCCTTGGTTTTGTCTTACCTAAAAGGGATCTACTTGCTGCCTGAATTAAGACTGAACAGCAGAGGTCCAACCTACTTTGATGTTAAATACAACCTGACACACACGAAACCTGATCTACATAAACATCTGAAGAAAATCTTTCTTATCATGCTTCTAATTTAGCCCCAGACAAAAAGACACCCTTCTACCTCATCACTTCTTGGCCTATGTTTTCACTTCGTCTCAGCCATTCCCACTTTAGCTGGGCAAACACAAGTGTCTCTTTCATTGCACAGGGCTGTGATGGCCACAGATCAAGCAGCAGCTCTCACTTGGCACTCATGGAAAAAGTATTAAAAGCTTCAGTGATATGTATCTCACTCCAGTTAGCAGCAAGTCAGAGGGAAGAACATAATACTAAAGCATAAACACCCCATTCTGGATCTCCTTAAAAAGCTACCTCCCAAATCTGTCAGGAAGAGGTACAAAACTTCTTTCACACTGAAAGCTATCAGAAATTAGAATCACAGCATCACAGAATGGCTTGGCTTTGAAAGGACCTTAAGCTCATCCAGTTCCAACCCCTTGCCAAAGGCAGGGACACCTCACACTAGACATGTCTCTCAAGGCTCTGTGCAACCTGGCCTTGAACACTGCCAAGGATGGAACATTCACCACTTCTCTGGCCTCATCACCCTCACAGTAAAGAACTTCTTCCTTATATTAGCCTTGGGAATATTCATTCTGGCTGGGAAGAAATGATAACACTTACCTGGTTCAGCAAGTAAAGGATTTTGGTAAGGATGTGCAGACATCTTCGTGGATTTATAGGGGTCTCGTTAAAGATACGAGCCTACAGACACAGCATAAAGAGAGTATTACAGTGTAACTCAACAATCATCATTTCTCTTTCATCATAAAAAGTAAAGCCGTTTGTTTTCAACCAAGTAGCTTTTCATTCTAAAAATGTGTCCCAGAGAACATATTCTTGGTGAGAACATCCTAAGAAAGCTAGATTAAACTTTGGATTTAGCCCAGTGTAAATTCCTTCTCTGATCTCTTTTGCAGAGTGTAAGAACTCAGAAGAGTTTTTATTCATTAATTTTTGTTCACTATAAACTGGCACCTCAGGTGTTTAGAGATTTGACTGAGGAATGTTGAACATGGAACTGTGTTGGAACTACAGAGTGCTTGGGACCTTTCTCATATCCATGTGTTGGAAGGGCGGGAGGGGTGGTTGATGTAAATGTGTTATTTGCTTTCCAAGAGTTAAAGTGTCAGTGCTCTTTGGATATTTGCTTTACAATAGCAAATAGATCAGAGGAAGTTGGGTTTAAAGCTTTTAAGTGATAACTGTGAGGCTTCTGCATTCAGATGTTTCACTTCTATCATGATTAACGTGGATTTTTGGTTTTAGTCTTATCTTACAAGATAGAGATATGTTTATTCTCCTGATTTGTTTGATAACTGACAGTAAGGCTATTCCCCAGTTATCAAACACAATTTAACTTGTGTGCTTTGTACACCACTGCTTTATCTTTGTATAGAAGTGGGGAAGAGGGTGTTCTATTTAAAAGCTTGCTCAAAATTTAAAGTTGAATATTTGAACTTTTATTTAACTTCAAAACTTGTAGGAAGTGTTTATTTATGCTTGCCATTGGAACAGGCTGCCCAGGGAGGTTGTGGAGTCTCCATCTTTGGAGACATTCAAAACCCGCCTGGACACATTCCTGTGTAACATTATGTAGGTGTTCCCGCTCCGG